ATTCGAGCACTTTTTTTTGTTTTTTTTTTTATGTTTTGAATAATACTGTTAACTGTTGGATGACGTTATCGCTTGTTGATCTAAATAAGGGCTGTGAGAATTTTCGGAGCGGATATTTTGTTGTTGTTATATTGCTTATCGAGGCTGCTGTTTTATTGCTGTTGGTTTTGCGGCTTTTAAACTTTTCGCTCTTTATCAGAAATGCGTTCTTTTTGTTGTTGGAAAGGCGAATATTGTTTTTATTTTGAAATAAACAAAAACGCGCATTATTATTTTCACAGCGTCTGTTCCGGCCGGCGTCGTGCGGAACTATTTACGGTTTTTCGTTAACGGTAATTTTGTTTGCTTAATACAATTTATTTTTTTAACTGCTGCGTTTTCCGTTTTGTAATTAGTTTAGCGGCGTCTCATTTACAACTGACAACGTTGCATTTCCGATGAGTTAAAATAACTTTACAGCGTCTCTGCCGATCGTGCATCGAACTGAGAGCTCGTGAGCGCATACAACACGTAGAAGAGCAGATGTAAAGAGAGTGAATGAATAGTGTAAAAGAGAGCGCCCAGCAGCAGCAACAGAAGCGTCGCCGTCGTCAACTGACAGCGCAGGTGGAATCACTTTCTGCGAAGACGGTTGAAATGAAACTGAAATGCTCAGTTGACGGCATTGTTGCTTTTTATTTCAAAATCAAGTATATCAAGTAGAAGAGCCGATATCACCAGACGCCGCTGCGCTGCCTTAGCATACTGCTAAACACATGCAAACACTAGAACAGCTACAACAACAACAACAGCAATGTTAAGAAATATGCGTAGACGTCGCAAAAGCCGAATATAAAACCACAATGAAATACAACAGCTGATAACTAATATGTTATTGTTGTTGTTTTTTTTTTTTAATACAGAGCAAAAGTACGATAACAACAATAACAAACAAATGTGGCTACGTCGACGTTGACCCGATTCGACAAATAAAAAAAATTAGCTGAAAATTATCAACTTGGGCAGCAGCTTTCAGAGAAGAATCCAGCCACATTTAAATCAAGGCAATTAACGCACTCACTGCCGCAGTCGCAGTCGCAGTCGACGTTGGCGTTGTCGTTATTTGGGCTTACGTCGCGTACACGTAATATATGTACATGCATGTAAATATGCACAGTAAACAGTGTGCAAAAATGTAAATTTAAAAAAGCTATGCAACTGTTAACGGCCTCTGTTGCAGCAATTAACTTCGTTGCGGTTGCATTTATTGTTATTGTTGCGACAAAACGATTAAGCCACGGCTAACTGACCGCAAGCTTTACCCAACTGTTGAGGGAGGCGTGGTCACTTGGGAGGGTGGCGTAGTTAAACATTGTTGTCAATTGCGATGCTTACATTCGGCTCTGCCTGGAATGCACATATATATATAATTTTCACAGCACGAACGATTTTAAATAAATAAATCAGACATTCTATATAGTATTTATGTAGACAGTGTGCGCAGTTCAAAATTTCTCACGTAGCATTCAAAATATTGCAATTGATATTGTTGGCTTTTTTTTTCTTCAAATTTATAGCTGGCTTTCCGTTGCGTTCTATCTGATACTTTTTAATTTGCAGTTATCAGCGGCAAGCAAAAGAAAAGTAAAAATCAAATGAAACTATAAGTATTAATACTTTACCAATATTTGCACAAATTATACAAGGGTATTGTAATCACATGATATACCCATAACATTCGATGACAATAAAAATCTATATTGATGGTTTAAACTGACGACTTGACATAATCATTTAATGGTACCCTTAACAGCATTAAGTACATGAAAATCAGTCGCAGTTAGAATTTAAAAATCAAATGTATTTCATATATATATGTTATCACAAATGAGTTGAAAGAAAACCAAAAACATAAACACATAAACACAATAGGAAGAATAAATCTCGATAAAAACAAATTCAGTGAATGTATATTTTTGAGCAAATGAATCATTGCTAAGAAATCTAGCTGTAGGGCAATTGTGTTTTTTATCGCATTTGCAGCTTCAGTTTCAAGATAATTCAAATGTCGAAAAAGCTTTTTTTAGAAAAATAATATATTCACAGAAAATCTATTAATCATAAACCACTTGGCTATAATTAATTTGAGCAATTGCAGATAGAGCAATCGAGCGCGGATTTCAAAACAAAATTTAATAGAATATTAATCATACGGCGCGTGTGACAAAAAAAACTCATTGACAAAGAAAGCAATCAAAAAGAGCAGAATTTGTCTGTCTGTCCAAAAATTGATTGGCAATTGGCAAAATAAATATATTTATGCTTATTTTGGGGCACTCATATTTGGCATAACAACTACAAGCTTAAGCATTTACTTGTCTATATTTAGCACTGAGAAATTTGCATTCGCTGTTAGCACCGAGCACATCTCTGAGGTGGTCAACATACAAGACCTAATCAGAAAACGAAGACAAGAAGGAAAAGCGATTGCCGTATTTTGGATACCCTTTCCGAAATCGAACTGGTAGCATCTAGATTTCAATATAGGGTTGATAAAATATGCACCTATATATAAATCGTTTGAGTTTGCTAAGCAAACAAATTGATTATCCTTGAAATCCCAACTATTGATTAATTTAACAGATGTCTCCATTTTTACAACAAAATTTTATTACCCATTATTAGGGTATACAGCATAATGGTTGCCCCGGCAACAGCTGTTGGCAGTTGACAGCCACTTGAGGAAATCCCCTTGGCACTTGGCCAAATAAAGCTGAGGCCAAGGTGTGTGTGTGTGTGTGTGTGTGTGTGTGTGCGTATGTGGCTCGGTGTGGGCCTTTAACATGTTTTTAATTTAATGATACTTATAAGAGCAAACAATTGCAAAAAAATATACAAATTAATAAATTATGCGCATTAAGTGTTGCTAGCTTCTTTTTGCTGTTAGTCTGCTGCTGTTTACAGCGGAAAGTTGACTTACTTATGCAAATTAATGCCAAGGTGCCAAAGAGTTGTTGACTCTCAGTTTATCATGCATAATCAAGTGTAACTGAAAACTGTCTGCAGTCATCAGAAGTTACAATTACGCTAAACTAAAATTATGATAAAAGCAAACAGGCAAAAATAAAAACAAATATGTAAGAATGCTCTAATTTGACTACAGCAAAAGCAATAACAAATAAGTAAGAATGCTCTAGACAAAGAGGGCGCTCGACTAGCAGATGCCTTACCTATCATAAGATATGTATATATATATATATATATAAATGTATAAATATGTGCAGATGCATTGAAAAAATGCTATGTAATTTGGTATATATGAAAAGGCGATTTTCTCAAATGTTTCTGAGCCGATCTTGATGCAATCTTTAAAGATGATTAATATAATGTCAGAGTATATTTATAACCAATAAAAATGTTGATCTTTGTCAATAAAATTGTCAGTTTTTTGCTATAGACAATTGATTTTGATTGATATTCAACTTGATTACGAATATGATCGCTGAGATTAGCGCGTTAATATAAACAGACATGAGTGGATCGGCTCAACTATTCACGCTGATCAAGAATATAGATACTGTATGGTGTCTGAGATGCTTTCTTATGCCTATCACATTCTTTAGCTCAGCATCATCATACCCATTCTACACATTTTCAACTAGTTTTTGGGTATGATAAGCCACATTATTTGCATATGAATGTCAGGGGCGTTCAAGTTGCCGAGCATTCAAAGTGCTCGGTATTCTTTGGTATCATTCGCTAAGCTAAATCCAATTAAAGCTGCACTCAGTCGAATAGAGAAAAAGCTCAGTTACATGCCTAGCGGAAATCATATTTAATTGTCCACCCACCGACGGCCATAAATCAAATATAATTTAATTTTGTCATTCATCCAATCAACTGAAAGTTTTATCTTTTGTCGCGTGTCGCGCTTTCAGCATTGCTGACGCTGACGCAGAAGCTGACGCAGACGCTGACAATGACGCTGACTGACAAAGACAGCTGGAATCAGGGCAGAACCAGAAGACGCTTACATTATCACACATGGCATTCCAGTCTCTAATATATATTTTAATATAGAACGCTAAATAAAAATACGCAAATACTGCCCATATGCAAAGCAGATAAGTTGTCGCTATCAATATCGTAAGCAGGTGTGTACCGCTCTCTCTCTCTCTCACTAGCGCTCTCTTTATTTGCTACCTCTTAGATGCCTAGCAGCCACAAAGTACTAAGAGCTATTGCAGAAGTTTGAGAGCCAACGAATAATTAGAGAAAAGCGTTTGGCACATTTTTGCAGGCACTGTGAACAATGTTGTCGCTGATCTTTGGCAAAAAGCCCTGGCCCCATTTCAGTGTATTCATGTCGGATGCGCAATATTCATTCTCCATATATATATATATATATATATATATATAGTATATATATTAACTCACAACGATATACCCTGTAAATCGTTGAAGTTGCATGCGTCAATTGCGTTATCAAAAAAGTATGCTATATTAAAGCACAACTAAATGCAAAATGACTTTGAACTTTAGACTAACTTTAAAAAAAAGCGATAAAAAAATAAATTAAATAGAATTAACATAAAATCACTTTCTGAAGTCATTAGAAAAAATGTAATTATAGTTTTTATGAGTTGTTAAAGTTGATTGTGATGCGCTTTAGTTATAATCAGGGCTTCAAACCGGAACTGGAAACTTAACTTTACATATGGAAATTTAGAAAATCTACCGGCTCAATGGTTTCAATACAATATTAAGAATGGGCCATATATAATATATCTACCTCAGTTCAGCTCAATTTACAATATTAGTATAGTAATAGAATACCAAAAAAAAAGAAAGAATTTCGGAATCTTTATACTTTACTTATCGAAACTCGTTTCGGTTTGACAAACTGAAGGTATTCATTTCTTTAACTAAACTCATTATTTTTTGGTTTAACAAAATCCCTATGGCGATTTAAGGAACACCTCTGATATATACGAGTTATATATATTTAGATCGAGACTCACCTAGTTAATGGTCCCGGCGACTCGCTGACCGCTTTGATGGATCTCCTGAGTTGCCTATGGCACGAGCCCAGGAATGATTCTTTGCGGGAGAGGAGGGTGCCACTGTTGCTCGATTCGCCGCCGGCACTATTCATGCCCGATCCGTAGGTGGCGCTCCGATTGTACGATTGCTCCATGTTGGTGCTCGTCTCTGTAATTGGATCTGCGCTCGAGCTGACCGCAATCGTTGTAACAGTTTTGGTTGGCGCTTCACCCCTGAGTTGTTCCACATTTAGTGGTTCTGACTCCTTGGAGTCCTTCGTGATGATGTTCGCTTTAGCAATCACAGCCTTCTTGCTTTTGTCCTCACTGATGAGCAGTTTGGACCAGGCACTTTCGCCACCCACTGCTTCGGAGTTATCCATTATCATTCTTTTTGGCATTATTATACTATAATTCTGGATTCCTCCGCTGGGCTTACTTTGGTGCTACTTGTTGTTTTTCTTGTTGTTGTTGTTATTGTTGGTTGGGCATTCGTTATAATGGAAAATTATGGGAAGCACTTTTCGCCGTTAGTTTTGGGACAGTGGACCCAATCATCGAGACGATTTTGGTTGGAGTACTGCAAGCCAAAATGAAACCAGTTGAGGATTTGTGTTTATTCATTTGCATTTCCCATAAAAAAGTAAAGTTTGTTTTTAACAACAAGTCTTAACTTGTTCGTTATAATTTATTTATTGTATTGCTTCATTAATTTGCTAATTTCTCAATCGAAATTTGAGCTTGTTTATTTTATGAGCTGATTTTAAATTATGAATAGAATTATTTATAGACTGAATGTGCTTTTCTCAAAATTGGTAAACATATTTAAGAAATGAAATTATAATTTATGCTCAGCTTTCATATTTGTTCATTGGTAAACACTGAATATAAATATATATAACTATGTTTTTTTATTTTGGCTAAAATCAAGCTGTTCACAGCTGTTGTTCGTATAAATAAATAGCAAACGCCGCTCTATTAATTATTAATTTTGGCTGTTTTTCACACACATATTTGCTGACCAAGTTTTCACAATATTTATTTTTTGATGTCGTGGACTTTTGTTTGTTTATAAATAATGCTCGTAAAATACATTTAATTTCCAAAAAATAGAATTTTTATTTTATGTGGAATTTGTTCATAAATTCATATATACTATAAACCTAATGTATGCATATATATACATTATTTATTTATTTATTTTTGTTTTTTGGATTGCAGACGCAAATATATAAAAACGAGATTTCACTTTGCAAACAATTTAAGTGCTCAATTATGCTGGCGTTAATTAAATAATTTGTGTAATTTTATGTTATTATAATTATAATTTGTATTTTTAGTACTTGTTTAAAGATAACCGTTAATCGCGAAGCGCGCGACAAATCGCGACACGATTCCAAAATGCGCGATGGAAGCGAACGAAATAAAATTGACTTACTAGGAGCGCAACGAGATGAAGACTGCTCTGCTCGTGTTTGTTTTAAATGCCGATGTGGATGTCGATAGCGCTATAGCTGGCTGTGAATGCGAATAAGGCCGACACACACTGGACTGCTGAGCACACGCACGCGCTTTGGCCACACTGTGAATCGGAGTGTGAGTGCGAGTGTGGTGAACTCAAAGGGTAAACTGAAGGGGGGAACACGTGTTGTTTTTTTTTTTGGGGTTTGCTTTTTGCTCCGCAACGTATGAGCAGCGTTTGCAAATTAACTTGGTGCTCGAGTGCTCGTTGCCACTTTTATTATCCAAATGTGAGCAGCTGTCAGGCAGTAGCAGCAGCAGCCGCAGCAGCAGCAGCAGCGACAGTAACCGCGACGAACAATTGCGACGCGACGCAACGCGACCGGTAACGGTAACGTCATCTATCACACACTTTTATCGAGTTGGCAACCGAGGCGTCTGCGTCGGCGTTGCGTCGGTGTTCGACATCGGCGTAGTCGGTTTTGTCTCGGCTTTGGCTTCGGCATTTTACAGTTGCTGTTGTTCGTTTTGTGCTTTTGGTTTTTGTTTTTGTTTTTTGCTCGCGAACGCTAAGAATAGGAAATCTGTCACAATGCCGCCAACGATGCTGAGCAACTGGCAGTCAAAGGCATCAATAGCCCCCAATATATATAGTTCATCAATAGTAATGCTGAGATTTTAGAGACCATCGAAAAGCTCACAATGAGAATCGATCGCAACTGCAAAAGCTCCTCTTGCAGTTGCAACTCCTTTATGCCGTCCACAAAGTAGGCAATGAATATTTCTATGGCAACTCGAAGCTCTTCATTTGTGCAGTGCGCAACAGACATGACACAAAAATTACACTAGCTAATCAATCAAAATCGCAACGCCATAAATTGATCAATGTGCAAACACCGCCTACGATATAAGACTCAATAATAATTATTTATTGCTGTCGCGCTGTAAGATGATAAAACTTGAGACAGGTGATGAAACCGTCCGAACGGCAAGTTAAACAGATTGACAGAGATGGTCACATCACAAAAAGTACTCATAAATTTGTCACGTTGCTAAGCGTTGTCTAAATTTAACTCACTTCCCTTGTGAGTGAAATTCACATTACACGTTTTTTCCCCCTATTTAATTTGCACGCTATTTGGTTTGTTCACCCGACGCCAAAGAGGGGTATAATAACTATAATAACTTACTCGCCAAATTAACCGGTTTGAGCCTAAATAGAAAAAGTATGTGTAAATGATAGATTTACATATGTGAGCCAGTTAAGTACCTATGGCTTTAAGATGCCATCTATTGTTTTGCATTCAATATTCTGGCCTCTGACACTTTCCATACTCATTGTCAATCGACTATCGCAAAACATTTTGTTTGTAGTACAAACAAGTTGAATGTTAGCAAATTTGCTGGGTATATGGAGATGTGGAACAATCGATCTCAGTCATTGCACTGCGCCTAAGTAATTGTTTCCTCGGAACATATTTGAATGCAAACACAATTAGTGCAATGTGCAAGGTGTCACATGTTCCGTAAACAACATGACAAAAGAGTAAAATACGACAACAATAGTAACAACTTTATGCCTGTGATTCATTTCACATTTACATTTACAAACGAATCATAAATCAAAAGAATAAAAAAAGCGATTACATTATTACATTAATTTGCATACATTGCATACAAATTCACCCGCACATTTCCAATTACATTCATATTGGATTCATTTCTTAGAACATGTTTTTAAAATATCAATCAGGTCGCTGCATCAATGAAAATGCATGTAAATTGAACACTGAGCATTCTCATAACCATTTTAATGAGAAAAATACGTATAGCTTTTTGATGACTCTGTTTAACTGACCACAAATCGGCTGTAATGATTTCATTAATTTTGCATTTTGATAGATTATACCAGAATATTGATATATGTTTGAGTATAATAGAATTATTGTTACAATCGAATTCAATTTTCTTTTGAAATTGTGTTTTATTGCGATATGAAAATAAGTTTCGTGAGCAAATAAATAAATATGAATACTACAAGTGTATCCAAATGCATTCACTGACTGACGTCAATTGTTCGTTATTTACTCATTTATACAAATGCATATATACAAGCATATCCAACAACTAATTTTGTTTTTAACAACTGGGAGTTTTTTCCAACGGTTGGCTTATAATAAATGTTTTGTATACTAAATAAAATGCTACATCATTGCACAAAATAAATTAAAATTTCATAATTTATTTAAGTGAACCTTTCGTTTCAAGTAATTAGTATTTTTATTTTTATTTGTTTTTTTTTTATTATTTATTATTAAGTCTTTTGTTTTATTCACACCTGTGAGATCATAAATATCCCACTATTTCGAAAAATAAATTATTTTCTATCATTTTTTGTTATTATCTTACGTAACTCGAGAGTGCCTCACTTTTACATACCCAGTACCCAGTTAAGAAATACCCACTTACTTTTTTATTCTCGAAAATGTCTCCTTGGCTCCAATTTGTCCCCTTCTGCAATCTTTACAAGCCATTTTCACAACACCTTCCTGCACTTATTATTCATTTTAAATGAATACAGGGTATAAGCCACATACAACTGAAAATATACAATTTGCCCAAGTTAAAAGTCTTTGAAGAGTTTAGAGTCTACTAAGAGAGTGTTAATTGCTTTAACAATTGCAAATTATATAAAATCGTTTAATATAATTATAGGTTGACACACGTACGCTAATGATTTATTTATTCACTTGATTTATTTATGTAGATTCAGCTAAGATATAGACAAATAATCGTGTGTGGGCTTTCTTCTCAGAACTGACAATTAAAAGTTTCAAATCATTAGTAAAGGCTCCACTCGAAATGGAAGCTCATTGGGAATGGAGTAGACTATTTATTTAAGTGTATAACTAAGTCGAGTAGATTACATATTTATTGTCTTACACTTCATGAAAAATGCCCTCTGAAATTTTAGAAAAACACACTTATTTTGGCGGTAACAGTAACTCAGCTTATTATTCCAGGGATATTTTTCTTAAATAGAGAGCATATTTTTCAGAAATTTAAGAAAATATGTATAATTTCAGGTGTTTTGCTATTTAATATTTAAAATCATTTTAATTATGTTAAAAATGTATATAATTGCAATAGAAAATATGTAATCTCTTACAAAAAGAAATAAGGGCTTACATTTCAACTTTTTATAAATATTTTCTACTATTAAGATATATATCTCTGAAAATGGAAAAAATCCCTTAAAATATTATGCAATATTATTTTAGTATATTTGTAAATAGTCCAGTGTTCAGAGAGATTTTGTTTGAATTCAGGGCGATTGTTTTTCTGAGTGCACCTAAATAAATTTCCGACTTTCTTGCTTATCTAAGGAAATCATTAGCATGAGCGCATAATGCTATTCCAAAAATAATTTCGATAGAAATGCGCAACGTGGAAATACGAGACGAATGTGCAGACACGTGCTTAAGCCAAAGACGTATATGTAACCGTGCAACACACACACACACTCACACACACACACACACAGACACATAGATACACAGACATTACTTTAAGCATTGCATACTTTGCTCGACCCACTTGTGGTGTGCTAAGTTTAGCATTTTGATCCAGCTTTATTGTGACTCTAGATGCTGAAGCAAGTCCTTGCGGCACAGGCACGCAGCAGGCATCAGAAAACAGTGCCGCAGTATTGGAGACAGCCGTTGAGGTTGCTTGAGCATTTGTTGCGTGCCCCACATAAGTCATTGGGATTTCCAACCGACCCTGGTCCAGTTTCTGATTCCTGTCTAACGGCCAATTGTGAAGTCTTTGTACGGCTTTGTTGACCTCCATTTGTTTTGTGGCTATCGACCAATCTATCTGAGACTGCACTTTGTCAATAACTTTGCAATTGAACTGGGGCAAATAAATTCATTTGCATGTCAGGTGGCAGATTGACCCAAGGATTCGCTCGTCCTTGCCACTTAATTCACGTCTGCAGGTATTTATTATTTATAGAAGGTAAGCTGTAAGCTCGTCCATTAGCATTATGATGAGCTAACGTCAATGAATACAAATTTGAAAATATACATTTATTTGCATAAATTTAGATATTGATTTAAACTTTGGCGTTTCTCTAACAGACTTTCTTACTTGTGTTAAGCTAGTATTTTTAAAATAATTATATTTTAATCAGTTACATTCTGGGCAAACAAGGAACATAGATGTCCTCAACCCGACAAAGACTCAAAAATTAGGGCAGGAATTGGGGTTGATGGAGGAGCTATAGGATCAGATTGGGGACACAATAGATCTTACAGTTCGCAGTTTATAAAGCGCCCCATTAATAATATTAATAAATATATACAATAATAATATATAAACGTTTTGGTTTTTATGTTAATAATGCTTTTATATTTTAATAATTCTGGCGCTTAGCACGTTCGGCATGCAAATAGTATAGCAATTTATTCGATTCGAAGTAATAAGGATTTTGTTCAGCCCTCAACTCCGGATCATACTCAACTCCACTAGATGTTCCGGCTCCTTCATCAATGATTCTTGGACATGTAAAGTTGTCGTTGATGTTGCTCTCAAAATTAAGCTTTCTACGTTTCGTTGGAGGCTCAAATTGCGACGGTGAAATTTGAAAATGTTTCTGTACCCTTTTTGCAAGAGAGTTAACAGGACTCGTTCCTTCAGTATACGGTAACTCCATATTTTATTCGATTTGGTTGTCCAGTTGTGTTTTATCGTGCGTCGCAATAATTTTTGAGATAAATTTAAAAGTATTTTAGATTTCAAAAAGTTGACAAGTAGGGAAAAGTTAACTAGGATTTTGAATATTTTGTTCATTGCATAATTGAAGTAGAAATCAGGTAGCCAGATAATTTGTCTCAATAAAAAAGAAATTGTCTTTTTAGGTTCATTAAGTAGAGATGGGGAGAACAGCTAATTAGATATTTTTATTTCCTCATAAACTAATGAAATTTGAAGTACCTCAATAAGGTCACCGGACATCTGAGAAGTGAGATTAAAAAATAAAACCCAAAAGTGTTAATCATTTAATGAGCTTCGCGGAGCGCTTTCTGGAGATTAATTTCCTGAGATCATAAGTATGTGTGAATAAGCCGCTAATTTTCAAATCCAAAAATCGACACTCTGTTTAAAAAGCAAAAAATTATAATTATAGTTAAATAATTGTGGGTTTAATAGCGTCTGCGTACTGCCCGACAAAGCCCGACAAAATCTGCCCATAAATTCAAACTCGTGCCTGTCATATCTATATATGATCATATCTATATAATACCTTCTTGTCCCATGACATTTGTTGATTTGCGTGTGTATATGTATATGTATGTGTGTGTTTGTTACTCATTTATAAATATTTGTGGCAAATGCAGGCGCACTTTAAGAACGTTACAGTTATCTTGAGACAGCTCAACTCTATATACTAGAAATTTTGCTATTTATCTTCTGATAAAAGCATTGAAAAATTATTTAAATTAAGTGTGCAAGCTGAGCTGAACAGAAAATAATTGTGCCCATTTTAAG